CAAACTATTCTATGATTCTGTGCTTCTATGATTTTTTTGAGGTAAAAGACTGTCATGCTTTCAAGAGGGAAAGTATAAGGCATTTCCTGGAAAGGTAGCAAGTGCCAGAACTTTGTTTGAACGGAGCTGTTTGGTCTTCAGCTCCAGTGACCTGCCAGAGCAGAACTGAGAGGCACTTTTAAACATTTAAAGAGATGGAAGTTGTTTTATCCCCTCACCTACACTGCTGAGCAACATGAGCAGTTTCACAGCAGCATCCAGCCAGTCACAACTTAAGCGTTACGTGCTCACTTTCCCTTCTTCTTCCCCTCTACCCATCTCATCTTCTGGTCTGCAGGAAGCTGAGGTTATGCTGATAATTAGCTGCCATCTCATTTTGCTCTAACCCAATCTGTCTGGGTCAGGACCCAACACTGATCACCTACTAACCCAACTTCTCAACCCTAGGCAAGTCTCCATGTAGCTGGTTTCTACACTTCTCCCCATCTCTCATCTGTTTGGACTTTCTCTGAACTTCCATCTCATGTTCTCTTGGACTAAACTAGTGCAAATCCACTAAATACAGCAGTCAGTCTCTTACCATCAAACTGGTACTGAATGATGTTGTTGAAAACTTCCAGCAAGAAGAAAACAAGATGGTGGTTCTGGACAGCAGAGAACAGGAACCAGGTGGTGGAAAAAGCCTCCAGGAGATGCAGTAACTTGTTAGCAGCCACCATGGAGAGAGACTTCAGGTATGGAGACACTGTGGAAGGCAAAAAAATGAAAAGTGGAGAAAGAACCAAGCTGTATTTATTCACATAAATACACCACTAAAAATGTTGCTCTTACCACCTTCCCACCCTGCACTTCTGGGAAAGCCTCATGGAATAGCTGAGCCCAATAGGGTTTCACAGAAACATTTCCAAATATAAAAGAAGTGAAACAGAGATATTGCCTAGTAAAAGCAGGCTCTTCTGCTTTTAGAGGGTCTTGTGTAGTTTTACACTAGTAACATCATCTCTGGCATGCCTCCTGAAAAGCTTACACAACTAGAGCCCCCTGGACACTCACTAAGCCCAGGGGAAGCCACTGCCACTGTGGGGAGGTAGCACTCCCTACTGGAAAGGGACAGCATTGCCAACCACCCTCACCACGCCTTCTGACACCCCAGAGGGGCTCCAGACACTCTGCCGTCCCACCCTCTGCCCCATCTGACTGAGCCCAGACAATAACCCTGCAGGTAGGTCTGATCTGCAGCTGACACCTCCAGACTGGAAACGATCAGTTTCCAGCAGCAGTCGCTGACACTGGTCAATGTTAGGGGACACAGGTAGGAGCACAGGGAGAGAGGGGTGACAGCAGCCAGAGCTGTCCCCTCTGTGGGTTGCGGTTTCACACTGCATACAGTGCTTACCGTTCACAACGATGGTGAGCAGGCAGTCAAAGAGAGGCTGCAGCCGCTGATGCCCACTGGTTATGATCTTGTGAAAGACCTATGGTAAGGAAGGAGTTCTTGAGCAAGGTAGTACCTTACTGAAAGCACCCTCTCAACCAAAACCAGTGCCACCCCCACACTAATCACTTCCTGACACCATTCCTTCCTAGGCAGGGCCCTGCACACTCCACAATTACACAGGTGGGGAAGGCTGCTCTCACTGCAGACTTGCACTCCAGGAGTACAAGCTTTCATTTACAATGAATCCTTTGGGGACGTGATTAGGGCTCTACAACACTGCAAACAGAAACTGACTCCGAGGTGTTCCAAAATGCACAGGCAGCCTGAGACAAAAATAAACCACCATGAACATCTTCAGCTCCAATGGATTTTGACTCTGAACCCTAATGATAGCTGCTTGAAATGCCACAGAACTAATCATTTCACATTTATTTTAGTGCAAACTTCTAACTCAAATGTTTGTCCTATTTTTCTTAACTATATCCTCAGACATGGAAAGATTCAACTGCCTCACAACCAGTTCAGACATCAGTCTTGGCCTTCCCACCTCTAGCTGCCATGCCTGTAGAGAAGACCTGCAGCATAATGAAAATACAGAGATGATCTAAGATTAATGGAATGTAATACCAAAACACATAGCATCAAGAACAGTCCTGGTGGGCACATTTCTTCCTACTCCTTCTAATGGGAATCTCCATTTGGAGGTTCATCAGAAGTTGTTGAGAGATTCTTCTCTGGCAAACGAGTACTAGCATGACAGAAGGGTACCACCTGAGGCTGGTACTGCAAAACACACAGCTATTTGTAGGCAGTATTGTGGCCCTCAGCACTACAGACTGAAAGATGAATGAAACCTTGCAGCAACCCAAAGCTGTACAGTTGAGCTTGGTATCATTGTTGTTCCCATTCTGACAGATGTGCTCCACACAACTCTGGTTACTTGGGACAGAGCCAGCAATGCAGTCAGATCTCCTGCCTTCCCCACCTACAATCAAGTCTGGTAGAGGCCATGCACCCATGCCACTCATGCCAGTCCCAGAGTCCTTTAGACACCAGTTCCAGCATCATCCAGGATCCTGTTCTTTGGGATCATCTCATGCAGATGGAACTGCATCTCATGCATATGCACCCTGCTAGACACATCATCAACCTCAGGTTAATAGTGTGCAAAGATCCCGCCAGTGCTCGGATGCATCCCACACACTTTCTAGCTACTCAGTGGACTGGCAATCTAGGAAGGACGAGTATATTGAAGGAGGAAGGAGGACAATTATTTGTGGAGGTATGAAACAGGAGTTAGGAGGGACAGAAAAGAACTGCTGGAGCTATACTCACTATGATGAGGAGATCTGCATGTGTCCCTGTGAAGACAGGGATGTCCATAGGCACTCGTACAGAATACGGCTTGTTCAGTCGAACCCCGAAGTTACGCTCCCCACTGAGAAGCAGGAGGATAAAGACCCCTATGTGCATCAAGCCCACTCGTGCTGCAGGGGGAAAAAAAAAAAAAAAAAAACAACCACCACAAAACAAAACCACAAAAAAACCCACACATCATAGTAAGGCCAGTGGGCTCCTGAAGAGAGAAGGGCAGTGAGGAGGGAGGAGAAACACTATGGGACTGAAAGAAAAACTGCACAGACCAGACCATCCTGATAAGGGACATCCCACACAGAGCTCGCTCCATTGCCAGTACCAGTGTCCTTCCCAAGCACATCTAAGGGGCCAGTACAATGATAAGTCTTGGATAGATCATGCTTTTCTTCATTATGTTCTTGATGTAAACCCATCACCATAGTAGGAAAGATCTGACTACTTCTTTCCACTACGCAGTGATGGAGTTATGCATGATTTACACCCAAGACAAGAGCAGATTGCTCATTTCTCCCTCTTCATGGGATCAGGGACACAGTTTTCAACATAAGGACTCAAAACGAGTTAACACATGCTAAGGATCTCCTTTCCCTGTGTTGTGGTATAGATCATGTCCTGTTTCTAGTCTGTTACAAACATTAAAACCCAGCTAACCGAACCACTCTACTCCATGCCTGTAGAACACTAGGAACATGCACTTGAGATGCTATCACATCTAAGTGGTACGGAGGAAGCATCTTAAAAACATTCTAGCTCAACTGTCAAGCCAAATATTGAACATAACCAACTTACACTGGTCTGCTCTGGCATCATTGAGAAAATACAAGATTGGGACAAGGATGTCCAGAACATCGCTGCTCTTCAGCACAAAGAAGAGGAATTTCTGGAAGAAAGGGGAGGATTTCAGACAATCACAAGTATATTCGGTTTTCTGCACCATCCGCAGGATTCAGGACAGGTAGCCTCAAGCTAATTAGTCTCTCAAGAACATTAGAAAGGCTGGTGTATGTACCAGCTCTTCAATTCCAGTGTAATTTGTAGAGTTACCATACCACCTGCTCCAGCATTTGCCTCAAGCACTGACCTTCAGGACCTGCAGCCCCTCTCACAAGCTGTCCCTACAGCCAGAGCCCCCCCAGTCCATGCAGCAGGGAATAGTGCTGCTGACCAGAGTACCACAGAGTCACCTGCCCATAACTCTTCACCGGGGCCCGGTCCAGCCAGAGCCCAGACTCTGGGCAACAGGCAAGGTGGGGCAAAGCTCAGCAAGAAGCAGATCCACACCTTGTTGAAGTCACAGAGTTTCCAGAAGAGGACGAGGAGTTCCTGATGGAATTGGATCTTCTTGGCAGAGTTTGGCAGGTAGGTCTGGACCAGCGGGTTTGATAACAAGCGGGCCACTCCTTTCAGGATGAACTGGAAATCCTGCCGACAGACCAGAAAAGAGACTGTGGTGGGCCCCAGGGCTGATGTAATCAGCATGAAATCAGACAGGAAATAGTTCAGGACAGGAGCACATTACCTCCTCTCGGTGTATTCTTGAGAGGTAATTCACAAACAGATTGTCTGGTCCAGGAGGCTGCGTTCAAAGAAAATGAGTGAAATGCTTACTGGCAACAAGGTTTACTCAGGAAGTCAAAGTGTAACCACTGGCTCTGGGGGTTAACGTCTCTCATTTCAGCTTTGCTCTCTGAATGATCCAGTTTTAAATACTAGCAGACAGAGCACCTCAGGAAACAGTAAAGTCAGGGGTTTTTCACTTACATGCTCCTGATTCAAGTCAGTGACGAAAACCTAGTGGTTTCGTCAGAAAAGAAGCAGGACTGGGCCCGACTGCAAGGAGAGGAGTGGTCCTGGGCACTACATGTCAACATTCAATGCAAGCTGGTGTAAGAGGACCACAGGGAGTTGAGGAGAGCAGCAAATACAGATCGCAATGTCACTCACATCCACATCATCCATGGCCGTGCCAGTGGTTGTGCCATCCACGGTGGGACTTGAACTGGTGGAGCCATCATAGTCCAAAGTGACAATCAGCACCTGGGCTGCCTCCTCCACCAGGGGCTCACGGTAGTCAGAGAAAAGCAGGTGATTGTAAGGAATCCCATAACCCACCGGGTCATAGGCACAGACAACGTTCAGGAGCGAGGTGAAGAGTGGGAGTGCATGTCTGGGGAGGAGAAAACATTCTCAGAAGGCAGAAGCAGGAAGCAAAAGGTGCTGCCTTGGGGAGGGACAGTCATCTCTCTCCCCAAGAGTTTGGGATCATGACAAGACACTGGCATCTCCTCTAACCTATAAGAGTGGCCCATGACTGAGCAGCCCAGAGACAAGAGCTGACACTCCAGCTCCCAGCTTGTCTCCTGAACTACAGCTGAGCGGGAAGCGGAGGTGAAAAACGCTGTGTGGCCTCCCAGAGGAAGCGTGTGCAGCAATATGACAAAGTGGACAGGACCTCAAAGCTCTCTAGACTCTGGAAAGACAAAACCGCCTGCCTTCAACTGGGACTGTGCTCGCCCAGGTGAGCAACTGTCACCTGGGGAGCTGCAAGTCCCAGAGAAGACAACGTCACTAGAGGGCAGCATTCACCTGCCACCAACACCACAAACCGCCCACTGCAGTGCCAGGCCACCATCCCCACCAGGGAACAGGGTCTACAGCAGGGAACAGGATCTGCTATTTCCCACAGGACAGGGATCAGTCCTGCATCAAACTCCAGTGAGCACCATGCTCAGTCTCTCTTTTTGCTGCTGAGGAACAATTCTCACTCAGCAGAGATGCTACTGGGGCGTACGTAAGACAGGGACAAAGAAAAAGGACAACAGCCCCTAGATGTTGGAGGTAGCAAGTCCTATGGTCCCCCGTTACGAACACACTCCATGGAAGAGATTTGAAGGTATTTCTCCCCCTCGCACCCAGTCCCCCACCCTTCACTCTCACCTGTTCTCTGTAGAGCAGAAGAACTGCACCCAGGGGTTGGCATTGCTGCTGTCTGAGGAGGGCGGCAGATACATGGCCTCAGAGAAACAGGTCAGCAGCAGCTTAAGCAGCTCTGTCCTGAAAGAAGGGAAGAAGCAGCCAAGGTCTGGAGCCGTTCAGGAGCAGGGACTGTGTGCAGGAGGCACAATCACTTACCACAACAACACATAAGGAAGGCTCAGTCCCATCTAGAAAGTCGTCCCCACAGAGAGTTAAGCATATTTCATTTCAAAAGCAACACTCCTGTCACTGGCGCAAAGCTCAGCAGAACTGCTGCCTTATGAAAAAGAAATACAGTACAGCGCTCCAAGACATTTTCAAAGTAGCAATGCTTTGCCAGTTCCTGTTGCAGACACTCTGACTCTCATACCATACTACAAAAAGCTATTCAAAAGGTCAGCTGTTTTCTTCTGTGTTGCCAGTCCTGTTAGCTCAGAAAAGAGCAAGGAGAAAGCCCCTTGGGAATCACAGAAACCCGTGGAGGCAAGGAGCCCACCTCCCCCAGATCCCCCTCTCCTGAGCCCAGTTTCTTTCCATTCTGCCTTTGCAGAACCTCTTACCTATTCAAGTCATGGATGTAGTTAAGCTGTGGAGAATGAGCAAAGCCCACTCCTGCCTCCCAGATGTACTCACAGCTGTCGATGGAGTGGATATCTTCTGCTGTGTCCTGTGGGAGAAATACGAGGTCAGACCACAGAAGGCAAGAGCAAGAGTTGACAGCACTAGTGGTATCCAAAGCCATTCAGCCCCTCTCCCTGACAACAGCAAAGACACCAGCAGAGAAGCATCCAAACACTCGGACTGTACATACCAGCCCCACCCAGGGAGCACCCCTGACAGAGGACCTCTCATCTTCAACAGGTACTGAGCACCATGCAGAATGAGGCCCTTCCTCTAGCGTGCCAAGGTGCAATGCTAGCCACCTCCACTGGGAAGGGTCACCTTCCAAAATACAATCCAACATACAATCCAAAATACATTCTGTTCTCATTACTGGATGCATCACCATCTCCTCTCCTTTCCTCCGCTTCTCATGAAACACAGGTCAGGGCTTTTCCTTTGCAGATCAAAAGCACCACACAGGGGTTCAGTCCTGCTCGACACCTCGACCCTATCTCAGAGCAGCTCATGTTGAGTTTACCCACATAATGGTGTCTCGCAATGGCTGCACCCCGAAGGCAGGAGAAGCAGCAAGTTAACCCTCATTTGTAATAAAAGCAGATATGGCTGTGACTTGCTTTTCAGAGGGTAAAATAAGAAGGTGACTGCAAATATGTTATTTCTCCTAGTCAGAACCCTCCCAGTCCCTTGACAGCTGCTGGCATGACTCCCAAACTCTTGCTTTGCAACCTGAGGAGATGAATCACAGCAGTTTGCCCTTCTTCTTTGTCATGGTCATTCAGGTCAAGATTGAAGCAGTTTTGAGGAGACAAGCAGCCATTGAAAACCACCTGGTGACCCTCCAGGAATGACCAGAAGCAAAGGCTCAGATGAATATGTTTGCATCAAGTGCACTTGGCACACTTTGGCTGTCTCTTTTCTGGAGTTTAATTAAGCAAATTCTACCGCCTGCCTTTTTTCCTCCCTGCACTTGGGGAAAGCAGATCAGAGGACTGTTTCTAATTGCTCTGGGTTTGCATTGCATAACTCCCTCCCTTCCTCCCTCCTTCCCACAAAGGCACTGACCTCAGGACAGCAGGACTTGAGGGCAGCCAAGATGCACTTACCACCCCAACCACGACTCCCACAAAACCAGCATGTTGACAGCAGCTACTGCTGACACAGAAGCAACCGCAGCTTCTTCCACAGTCCGGACCTTCCCTGCCTTGCTAGTCACTTCCTACAGATAGGCTGGAGCTCACCTCCTGTCAGGTTTCTCACCAAGTTCCTCAGAAAAACTCTTGCTGAGATTGGAGTGCCCACGACCTCCCTCCACAACAAAATCTTGAACGTCTCCTGCGAGGCACAGGCTTCATGGAAAGAAATGCAATTACATCCACAAACCTGCTTCTACCATGTGTGACTAAGCAGGAACAGTAGGAGGAGACAGCGTGTTACTAGCCATCATTATAGCAGTTCCCCTAAAAAAGCAGGTGCCAATGACTTCAAAGAGCTCAGCCTTTGCAAGTAAGTGATAAAACACAGAGATGCAGGCACTGTGCATGACAAAGGGATCCCCAATTTTTAGCCATAATTCCAGGGCTGACTTCAACAGGAGGGCAAACAGCAAAAGAGTACGGGTCACTCCCGGGTCTCCTTTGCCCATTCCCTCCCAGCTCTTACTCTTCCTCTTTACTCAATTCTGCTCCACCAACCATCCACCACAATCTGTATCTCTGGGGCCATGTGCTCTTCTGCCATGATCATGAGGTGGTTGTACTCATCTCTCTGCTCTTAACCTGCAGTCAGACCCAAGAGCGCAGATCATACCAGATCCAGAGAGGCTAGGCAAAGACTACAGAGGCTGCAGGCAGCAGACAGGCATCTAACAGCAAGGAATATAAAGCATTCACGATCTCATCGTCTAATTCAACTTGCCCAGAGCCCCGGAAAGCCAGGCTGGCTTCTGCCAAGGGAGAAATCACAGGTGCAGTGTGGGGTGTTCTCCCAGGAAAAACTGTAGTCACCCCCACTTGTGCAATCCATCCCAAGTGACAGCACAAGACAAGTCCATCTGTTTCAGCCACACTCCCACTTACTCTTAGCACATAACCATGTGGCTCTGACCCAGCCTTGCCCCTTCATCCCCAGGTGACAGATTTTAACCCTGTTTCTACTACCCAGAAACTTCAAGCAAGCAATTTAGTACTCAGGTTTGTCAGGGAATTTTGCAGCCATCAAATACACAGTGGTTTAGCATGTTCATTTTTAATTTACTTCATAGCTATACCAAAAAGGAGGGCTGCCCACTTTTGTTTATAGACCAGACCTACAAGAAACACCACAGAATCATTGGTGGGGAGAGAGAAAGAGAGAGGGAGGGAGGGAGATGCAACAGAATTTGTCCTCAGCACACCTGGTAGGAGAACCCTGCTTCAGGGAACTCCTCTAAAGTAAAGACAGTCACCATAAAGATAAGAACACATTTGTCTTTGCTGCAATGATACAGAGAGGGAGAGGAGGTGGCAAGACACAAGAGACCATCTACTCATTCACATCACAGTACCTGCTATCAGGCAAACAGCTGCTTCCTGCCCCAGACTGCACCAAATCACCAGTGAAAGGAACAAGGTGCTAAAGGTCTCTGCTCTGATGGCAACAACAGAAGAGCTGTTGTTTGCCAGCACAACCACCTTTTCCTGAGGGGCAAGCTGTAGCATGGGGGTGACTGCCAGCCACTCCAGCTGAGACTCACCCAGCTGTCTCAGAACATCTGTTTTAGAAGGCACAAACACCACACAGTGAACCCAAAATGTTGATCAATATTAGTCACTGCAGGTTCAAGCTCAGCAGCTCCGTATTTTCTTGCCTGCAGGTTTGCAGGAAGCTGCTGGGGTTCTCCAGGGTACCCCGCACAATGCAGCTAATCTACCTCTATGCAGATAATCTCATGATTCGACTTACCACCGTGCTCCTCCGGTGGCTCTGCACAGTGAAATTGGGACAGAAGAGCAGATCTGCGACAGCAAGGAGCAACGACTCAGCCAGTGGCCGGGCATTTTCATCGTCTTCATCTCCCTAAAAGCAAGAAACATGGAAGAGTATTGTCAGCCTAGTGTTAGTGAAGAGCACACAGTAACACTAGTATAACACAGCAAGAGAAGATACACTCCCCAAGAACAAGTGAGGAGGCAAGATATTACAAAGGAACAAGAGGGAGAAACACACAAAGCCCAGCCAGTAGAGGAAAGAAATCCCCCCCTGGAAGGTGATGACTAACTAGGAACAAGCTCTTTAATGACACCAAACTGAGCAGACAAAGGCCTAGAGATGTCTGGGAAACAGAAGAGTAGCACTGGACCTTGCCACGTGGAGATGTTTGACTTACTGAAGACAAAAGGAAAGGGAACCATTTACAGAAAAGAGGGTTTTACAGTCATGAAGGAGGGTAATTCGGATGGTGCAGAGAGACAGCAATAGGAAGAAGCCAGCCAGCAGCAATAAGGTGTAAAACCTCTCAAAGTCCTGCATGGGCTGCCCAGAACTGGAGTTGACAGAACCAGGAGAGGCCACAGGCACCATGCTCAGCAAGGGGCCGCCTCAGCCTGCCATGGCAGAGCAAGCGTGAAAGCGGAGGGGATTTTGCTGTCTCCAGCATTCAAGGCAATCACTCTAATCATGCATGGCTACTCCTCTGCAGCCGTTGCCATGGGAAACCTTGCCAGATCCTGCCTGTCAAAGAGCATCCTGGCTAGGAGGCGTTCCCCACCACATGCTGGTGCTGGGTAGGAATGGCAGGAGCTTATCTATCTCAGCCAGGCCTCTGTCAGCCTGCGCACGACACACGGCTCTTAAATCACAGCAGGCAGCTAACAGAGATAATAGCCTGTGTGGCTCTGACGTCTGTCTCAGTGACAGCAGGAAGACTACCATCAAACAGATCCTGGATGTAAGGAGAGCCCAGAGAGGACAGATGGTGCCAGCACAAAGATGCTTTTACTTGGACTCACAGTCAGAGATGAAATGAAAAGTGTTAGTGTCCAACGGGACTTATTTTCCAAGAATGATCTTTGCTAACATCACCTCAGGTGCCAGAAAAATTCCCTGAAGGCTCTGGGTACCACCACATCCAAAATGGGTGACACACAGCAAACCAAGAGATCTGTACACAACACAGACCCCCTTACAGGAGAGAGGTACCCATCCCCCAGGAGCTCCGCCACCCATCACTGCATCATGAAGCAGGTGAAGGATAATCACAGATATATTTACTAATGGTCCAGGCATACCATCATCTTCCCCCCTTCAGTTCCCAGGGAGAAATCAGTATTCAGACAGCAAAGCAGTTGCCCCTAGATTAGGCATGATCCCAGCTTTCCTAATGTCTCAGGGCTTTATTTGTTATCCCCTGCCAGACAGCTCAGCCAGCCTTACAACTGCTTCTGCACATGGTTAAATGATGGCACGCACTGAACCACAACAGCTCCACTGACATTCAGGAGGCACAACGCAGTGGGAGGGCTCCCAAACCAAGCACACACGCACTGGAGTGGATCGCCTTGGGGTGACCCCACCACTCTAAGGCTGAGAAACTCTCTCCTCCAACTACTGAACAAAGTGGAAAAACAGCTGTAACAGCAGCCTGGCTGGATCAGAGCACCAGGCACCCTGCATGTTCCTTCCCAAAACAAGCTCTTCCATTTTTAAGCCTCTCCAGCACCCCCTGGTCCCTGCAGGGATGAAAGGGTGGAAAACCACCACCTTCCCAATCACACAGATCACATAACACAGCAGGGCTAGCAAAGACTTCCCTTTCTACCACCCAGAACTTCCCCTTGAAGTGGCCTCAGGCAAAACAGATTAGAGGTGACAGGCAGAGACAACGCAAGGTGCAAGGTTTATACTGTACCAACCCCTGCTGATCCTTTCTAACCTTCCCCAAAAACACGGCAGTACACTTAACATTCAGGAGAACCACACCCTTCAGTATAGCCACACTGACCTGCAGATTCAGAAACTTGTAAGAGAGTGCTCTCTATGCACAGAGCAGGCAGCTGCTGAGGGAGCAAGCAGGCGAATTCCTGGCCTAACTCAACTGTGTTTTCAACACTATTTCTCCTATATGCAGGACATCCTAAAGCACTTTCACCCTGTTCCTCAGAGAGACAAAGCACTACCGTGCCTACTCTCTAGACAGAGAAATGTAGGGAGGTTCAGAGACTCCCCTGAGGTTATACATGTCAGTGACAGAGCCAGAAACAGTACCTAATTCTTCAACCACTCCTGCCCAGTTGTGCACTTCACCTATCAGGCTAGGCCCCTGGTTAAAACTTTATCACTCAGCTCATAAGCAGGGCACTGAGTCACACTGCTGAGAGCTTCTCTGGCGCTATTTGCTTTTCATGTGACATTGTAAAATCAGCAGAAATGACACCCTATTTCAGTTTGACTTGAATCTTAAATTAACTTTAGTTAATGGAATAAGGTCATTTCAGTTTAATAAAGTCATACAGCCTTTAGTACCGCGCTCACGTTCATTTCGATTCACACCTTCAGTTATACTGGAGAAGCCTTCCCTCACATACCAGTGCTCTCCTACAGCTACATACTCAAGTGAAATATTTAGATGATGCATCAACCTGTGCTAAACAAAGCAGCTGAGGGGGAGAGGAAGAGCAGCAAGAATCAAAGGTAGGAAAATAACTTAGAAGGTGCCACCTAATTTCTGACCAAAAAGAAATAACTGGAATAAAGTTGCCCCCAAAAGTATACAGGCTGTCCTCGCTGCAGCCTCCCCTTCACCCTCCAGAAAGAAGAGTAAGTGCCAAGAGACAGACCCCTCCTCGGCCAGCCCCAGGGACAGTTGACCAGAAGAAACCTCTCCAGTCTGGGTCCTCAAAGATGTAAGGCAGGATACGGGTGAGGAGCCGGCAGCAGTTCAAGACGATTTGCCTCTCCTTCTCTGTGTGGCAGCCGCTCTCTGCTCCCTGCACCAGCTTCTCCACAGCCTGAAGAAAACAAAACCAAGGCAGGTAGCATTAGCCTGGACACAAGTTAGCAAGAGTTGGGTAGGTCTGTCCTGCTGGTGACAGCCTCACAAAGAGTTATAAGCGGTTCTTGGAGCCCATTTTCTCCGAGTTCAATGGTACAGGCACTGTTGCTGTTTAAAACACTGCAGAAATAGGGTTAACAATCTTAAACAGACCTTCCTGAATTTCTACTGTCCCACTGCAACAGACCTCACATGCCAGGATTAATCCATGCAGCACACGTGTCGTGTCACATGAGACAGACAGCCACAGCATCAGAAGGCTCCTTCCAGCACTGCTCCATGACACCACATGAGCAGATCTGCAAAGAGCAGATCAGATTAATCAGCCGCATCAGGTACACAAGACACAGGCAGAACCAAGGCAGCAGCACTGTGCTGCATGGTGTGAGGCATTGGCAGAGGGAGATTGCACAGAAATACACAAAGTCTGACATATCTGGATGTGCTGTTGTGATTACGCAGCTCCTGACTCAGGAGGTGGGAGCTAAGCTGCTGCCTGTGACTATTAGGTGTACGGATACGGCCTCCAGCAGAGTCTGTCAAGGTCCTGCTGCAGAGGAGGGTGGTAGCCCAGGTTTCCCCCACTGACCCTGTGAATAGGACTGCTGCTCTGAAAAGAGCTTCTGAGTCTCTGCAGTCCATCCAATCACTACTGAAACTACCAATGGAGACAGTCACACTGGGTTTTCAGAATACGATGTGGTCTTGCCAGGCAGTAACCACAGCCCCAGCAGGCAGCAGCAGGTTTTACTCACAGAGAGAGAAGAGCAGCTTCTTCCCCCAGCAGCTGCACCCACTTGCTCTTACTCCCTGATCCCAAGGGGAAACAGAGGGGGAATGAAAGCCAAAACCTTTACCAAGGATTCACCTTGCTGCTTTTTAATTCATGAGGTCATGCGTCTCTACTTATTTTCATAGCAGACTGTCTGGGTCACTGACTCTGCTAGCCTGCATCATTGCCTTAATGGGTATTTAAATGTTGTTTGTGTAGTCTCAGTCTGTCCACACACTACTCTATGACTGAGCTTAACTTTTTTTTTCAGGCACATTTATGATTCTGTACAGTCTGAGTCTCCAGCCATGACTGCAAATGACATTTCAGCCATGTTGTTGTGCTTTTCACAAACATGTAGCATTGCTAAGTCCAATGGCACACTGCAACTGCACCTGGCACAGGTCAGGGCCCTCTGGCACAGGTCAGGGCCCTCAGCCTGGCAAAAGCACGGCAGGAGTCTGCAGGCTCCTCTGACCCTAATAGCCCAAGATCTGGATAAACAGCCCTGCAGCAACCAGGTCTCCCCACACATCTGTTTCCGGTAGGGAGAACAGCCCATATTTTAGTCTTGGTTTTGGGAGAAAGAGGATACAGAGACAAAGGGGTTACGTGGTCAGTACAGGTCTCCCCAGCCCTTCTCGATTCCCAAGCTGCTTATTGCCAGAAGCCAAGAGACAGCACTAGGGAAGAACCATTCCATTCTTCCTCATTTTTGTATTCTTTCTCAAGTTTCCACTACAGGCATCTGTCTGAGGCATTATTCCCAGTAAGAGGTACCTTCACTATGACTCAGTAGGTCTCATTCACATTTTGTAGAGCAGGAAAGAAAAACAGGACAACAACCACGATTTAAAACCAGAAAAACACCATTCCAAACGTTTCCAATACTACAAATTCAAGGCTACTCTTTGCATGGCTCAAATCAGAAGCATTATTAACACTTGCACTTTCCCAGGCAGAATAAGCCTCAGGCTGTTGCTCATCAGCTTGACAATTTGCCAAACCTGACAGGGTAGGAAACGTGAGTCAATGTCCTTTGTGCTCCACACAAGGACGTGGCAACACCAGAAGCAGCATCAGGGATGTTCCTGATATCACAGCAGAAGGAAGAAAAGTCTTAAGATCTCCCCACAACTTCATCCAGGCACTTGTACAGTGACAATCTCCACATCCCTCTGGGATCTATCAGCTTGAAGCCAGACTGATGCATGGTGAGGAACAATTAGATGCAGACAGGGAATCAGATATACCAGCCTCCCCACAAATATGCAGCCTTGGTACAAAGTCCCCTAAGCAGGAAGCAGTTTACATAGCAGGCAAGACCCAAGAGGACAGGGTGAAACACAGGAAGGGGACAAGAGGAAAAAAGCTCCAAAGTGAGCAAGAGCCAGCTGTGGTCTGTGCTAAACCAAGAGAGGAAGAGCTGAGAGTTACCATCAGGAGGAGACCAGGACAAGCAAGTACCTCATGTGGTACAAGGAAATAATACGATACCTGTCTCCCCTTGGGAGCCATAGGACTATTGATCCAGGGACACGCCCCTACTAGCATAGCACCAAGGAGTAAGACAGCACCAACCTTACCTTATAACACAAAGTCGCCAAGTTTGAAGGTGATTCTTCTCTCACTGCTCGGATCTCTGCAGCTGGTACAAGGGCAAAGACATCCTGCACTGAAGTGGCTGTGTCTGCCCAGAACTGGTCCCAAAAGGCATCATCTGTTGCCTCCACAGGCTGTGGAAAGACAAAACATGGTTACAGATGCAGAACTACTATTCTGTGAGGTCCAAACATCAGCAATTACGCCTGGCTTGGGGATGGGACCAGGCCCAGAAAAGGTTCAATAAAACATACTGGCACTGGTTTTGTGCCTCAGCCTCTTTGTTTGCAGGGCTTTGGCCGATTTGATCTCCCAAACAGAGCATTCCCTCAGCAAGGGGGTGAGCAGCAAGACATTTATGTGACCAACTGCATCACACTGGGACTCTGCAAGTCTTTCATGGTGTCACAATATAGGTGAGGCCTCCTGCTTGTCTGCAACCTAGGGCATGTATTACAAGATCTTTACCAATGCGCATGGGCCAGGCTGCTGTCACGCACTCTGTCACCTCCAGAGCAAGTCAAGGATGCCCTGAGCATGCACTGGAATTACTTCTGTCATAAAGTCTCGAGAAAGCAATCAGGGCCATCTCACATTAGGGCACGAACAGACCCACGGAACTGACAGACCCACCCCAAAGCATTTACAGATGCAACAGAATTGATCTTTCTGAATCAAATATTTATGGAAAACTGGACTCAGCACAGCTGGTAGCTGCCAAGGCTTTGTTCTTAAAAAGCACTAAGTGTGCAATTCAAAGACAAAGATGGAAGGAGGCAGTTGAGATACCAAAAAAAGCAATCCATTTCAGACCTGTGGTCTGAGAAGCCCACTCCCCATGCCTGGGAACACACCTCTCCCAATTACCTTTTCTGGCTCTGCAGGTGCAGACAACCCCCTCTCTTACTAGCACTGTTGTCCCCTTTTCACAGTGAGAGAACAAGGATTCTGCTTGAGCCCACCCTGTGCTAGGGATGCTGGCCACAAGGATGGTCTGTTTGACAGACTGCAGCTGGAAAGACAGCTCTGTACAGCTGGCTGCAGAGTCCCAATGTTATTTCTCCCAGCTTCTTCCTGACCGCATGGCATCAAGTTAGAAATCAAAATAACAATGATGACAACCTGGGCATCAGGTTGTATGTAGCTGAACAAAGCAGACTGGACCCTGCTTTGCCCTTTATGGCTTTGCAGAGCCAGAGAGCGGCGCTGGCCATTCAAGGTGAAGCAGAGGCTCAGACAGGACCAGCGGTGCCTCCAACCCTGTGGAAGCGTGGTGATGACTTGCCACTCCCCAAAAGGTGAAAATGCCAACAAGAAGGCATCTCCGTTACACAACATCTCAGGCATCCAAAGCCTGGGAGCTCTGAACAATCAGGAAAGTTTTCAGCCAGCCTAAAACTGAGCACAGCTCTTCCCGTATAAATGCTGACACTTGCCAAGAGACAGGCAATCAATGCTGGGACAATGCTGGGAGTGCTCATCCAGCCCAAGGGTCCTGCTACAGGAGTGGAATAAATACATGTGTGTTTATGCCGAGCAGTGTGAGAGAGATGGATCCACAATTTGAGTCAGAAGAGGAAAATGGAAGCTTTTCCAGAGAGTTTCCCCAGCCATGCCAAGGCATGGCACTTTCGGCAGGTAAGAAGAGCCATCTGCCTGAACACCCCCAGCCCTTGGCTTGGGGTGAGGGGAAGCCTCCCGCCTGCAATGTGCAGCAGCTCTAAAGCAAACAGCAGCTCTCACTAACTGCAATAATCAGCACCATGGGTGGGTCTACCTTGTCAGATGGGAAAGGGGCAAAAATATGAATGTGTGTTTAACTTAAACAATTCCTGGCCACTCCCAGCTCTGCTGTAGTAGGCAGAAAACTTGCCCAGCTCTATGCTGTTTCTAAATGCAGCCAAGATGTGACTCTGGGGAGAACAGCTCATTCACAGCTCTGACACCAAGTGTTGCATTTCCCTCTTCGCTATCACCTCCTGAATTAACAGACACAGTTTGCGAGCAGGTGATGTGTCACTACCACCCAAAGGCCAAAAAGTGAGAGGGGCAGGCAGGCAGCCCGCCTGCCCCCAAACTGGTACAACAGGTTACTGCCCTGCAGCTCTCTGCCTTAACGCTCCAGTGCCATAGAGGCTGCTTATTGCTTGTTCTGGTCCTTCCAGCCATGCAATGAATCAGCCCAAGCGACTCCCCAGTCTTCAAAAACAAAACTGGAAAAAAACCCATACGTCTTTAGGCATCTTCTTAAACTCTGCTCTAGTGCTTCATTTTATCACCTGGCCACCAAAGGAAGTTGCCACCAAACCTCCTTCCAAGGGACGAGAAATTTTTTTCCAAATGATTCAAGATCACAGCTCCTCAGAGGGGATCTGTAGGAACAGCCAAGTGGTTACAGCCTGACTTTCAGCTTCCTGAGCATGCGAAGGAGCTGTGCTCTTCTGCAACCTGGCATGAAATGCTTAAGCGGAAGCAAAGCTATTTTGCAAATCTGATCTCTCATTACACTCCTCAAAAAGAGCCAACTATTTGGAAATCTGATCTATGTAATGCACAAACCATCCTACACTTCCTACACCCCCTTTCAAACCACATACCACAACCACATGTATAATTGTCACATGTACCTACTGGCTGCCTGCCACAGCCACTCCCACTGACAACAGTAAGCAGCAATTGCTGCTAATTGGTGATCATGCATAAATAATGGTTTCACTCTCATCTAAAAGGGAAGGAGAAAACCATTTCCCTCCAGTAGACACAGATCCCTTTACCTGAGGCCTCCTCAGAGGTTGAACACAGCCGCTATTTTACAGATGGTAACACAACAGCTAAGACGGACTGAAGAGCACGGTCTCTGACTAAAATTACATGGAGGTAGAGAAGCATAGCAGCAATTACCCAAGCTGCAATGTTGGATGCTGCAGCCACATTAATGCCACAGCTGCCATCCTGGCAAGCAGATTACGCTGAAATACCATTTCTTTCATTTTTAATAGCTGCAGCAAGCCAGCTCCTCATCCAACAGATGGTATCCCATGTACAATCCTGGGACATGGATTCAGTACTGAATCATTCACAACCCTGCAGCCCCCCTGTTTTAATTAACAGTCTGGCATCTTGAAGCTACTCAATCCACGTAATATTTATCTCCTTGATAGAACATCACTGGATGTTTTTAAGCTGATTGTATTCTGCACACAGCATCTCTGGGGATCTAAATATCTATTTCCTCATGCTGAGCTCACCCAACAACCTGTATCTAGCTCACAGAGAAGGGAAATAGAGAGACCTCGAACAGTCTTGTTCACCAGCCATGGATATCTTCATTAGGAAACATCAAGATTTATTTAGAAGTGTTGGTACTGCACATGCTGCAGTAACAAACCCCACAGCACCGCAGCTAGCCTTGACAGTGCTTTAACCAGAAGAGTTCATGAGGAGCTGAATCCTCACGAGCAATGCTGTGAGCTGGGGCCATTTCGGATCCTCCAGATCAGCTCAAATGCGTCCTCTCTTGGTGAGGGAGCTGCAGCACATAGATAAGAAAGAGCCTAATGTGCTTCCGACACAGTGCAGACAACCAGCTCTGCACCAGCAGTGCAATGAGAACGAGAACTTCATCACTGCTGCAAGAATCAAGGGATCAGTAGCTCAACTCTACTCTGGAAACACGACCAGCACCTCTGGAGGGCAAATGAAGTTCCTGACCCCCACACACCCCACCGCAGAGGCTGCTGAAGTTACAGAGCTAACTGGCAGAGAGAGATGCTACTGCCTGAACCAAGCTTTCCACACCAAAGTGAAGAGATGACCGAAGCGCAGAATGGTTGCTGAAAACACAGCGGGCAGAGCTGAGGTGATGTTACATCTCAGTGGGCAAGGAGGGAGAATTTTGCCTTCAGTTTACCTGGGCAAGGTGTAAAGACCTCCCACCTACATGCTGGCCAAACAAAGGTGGAACCAGTCCTACTGGACACCTCCAGTCTTTATTTCCTAATAGTTATAAATGCTGGGTTTCAGGTTCTTTAAAGCACACTATACATACATATACACTATACACTATACATGCATGCTGTAGGAGTCAGAAAAGGAAGACACTCGGTTTGCAAGTGTTTTGCCAGTTATTGAAGAGAGAATCACAGCCCTGAACAGGCAATCCCCAGGCAAACAGGATACGTCACAGGAAATGGGAAAACAGAGTTGAGCTGACCGTGTCCTATAAACAGGAAAAGGTCCCAAGGCACAGCCTCCCCCCATTCGTTACTGTCCTCAGCCTGATGCTAGTACGACCTTCGCTTTCTCTTTCAGATACAATCTCTCACAAACTCAGGCAGGGTGAGTGTTGGTACCCTCCTCCCAGTCAAGAAATCTCTGCACTTACACCTTTACATTGAATGCCCATTCCCAACAATTCCTCCAACACATCTCTACCAGACAACTGTCCTTAAGCCAATTCTGAGGTTGCTGCAAACCACCAGCAGAGAATCACAGAGGCAAGCAGCCAGTAGTCTTGTTCACTGTATTCTCCTTTTGCTTCTTGCCAACACACCAACGGAGCATCCCATCGGCCAAGGCAGCAAGGCATTTGGGGCAGGGACTCTCCTTTTTCTGGGACTCAACAGCAGAGCAGGTCCCTCGTCCCTCGCCAGGGTTTCTAGCCAGTACTACACAAACTCAGATAATATGTAACACCAGCATGCTCCTTTCCACCCCAAAATGAGGCAGAACTGTAGAGTGTAATGACCGGAGAGCCGTTCATGCAGCATTTGATTGAGCTCTAGAAGATCAGGCAACCCTGCGGGGCCAGCGGATTAGTTTGAGGCAATTCACACACCTTTGTACCACCTGTTAGTGAGCCACTGTGCAAAAGGGAAGTCTGAGGACAGATTTTTCAAAACATTAATAACTAGCAGGATTTCATCCCTGCTGCCAAGGACAGCAGCTCCACAGGGATTTCAGAGCAATAGTAAATTTTTCTATAGGATATTTGCAGTCAGCAGTGCAGAATCAAGGAGAGGCTCCACATGAGTCCGTCACCAGTTCTCTGCTCCCACAGCAGAGACAGTGTTGCAAAGGAAACTGGAAAATGGGATTTGTGGAATTCTCGCAGGGCAAGGCTAGGACAAAACTC